CCGTAGAGCATCTGTTCGACCACCGAGAAATCCAGTTGAACTAGAAAAGCTTGAAAAATCATCAGCCACGCTATAGAATCAGGCCACAAAATTGATTTTGACAATATTGAAATCATCATCCAGAAAAATTTCAGAAATCACAAAGAACGTCTAACATCATCAGAAGAACTTCATATGATCAAATGGAATCCAAATAGTCTGAATAGGAATGATGGCCTAAAACAGAATTTGACCTGGTTACAATACCCCCCATCCCTATGAAGTGAGAAAATCAACACGAATGTGATAAGCAATTTCACTATGTAAACACACGCTGCTTTTATAATCTTATACACTTATCAAACCCAACATCCTACACCTGGTTTTGTTATCTTTAGTAATTGGCCAACTTGAAAACTCAAAAATGACCAAATGCTGATGAACGATGATTAAGTTGTTATCTTTATGCTGAGATTTTGTAAATTCTGGTTTAATAATACTTTGATAAAGCTATTAGCACCACTGAATAGCGAAACGTCAGTAAACACAACAATTTTGTTTTGTCTTTTTCGTTCATTGGGAAATACAAGAAAACCTTTATTACAAGAAGTGATCTCATCAAGAGATTAACCCCATATCCGTAGGGGCTAGTGAGTTCTGTGAAACAATGTCCAGCCCTAAAGGTGTTAGTCTTTATCTGATCGATAAGCATAAGAATATCTCTGAAGTAAATTGAAAATCACAACCTATCATTCATTTTTACTAACATACTTACTCACGTACATAGTTCTATAATCTTATTTCGTACTAATTACCTCCAAGTATCTCAGCATTGTATTTTCAGTCAGGATTTTCTAAGGTTATACTTAGCTAGCTTTGAATACAAGTATTACAAAGTGGCTGAGGTTTGTAAAGGTCGGGTAAATGCTTTCGCAATGGACTAGGTATTGAAGTGATTTTTTAGGAATTATTTGAGAAGTTTAATATCCATCACATTTAACATCAGCAAAATGAAAACACGATGTCTAGACTGACTACTAACTGACTTAAGTTAGCGAACAATTGAAAATCATCAAAGACTACTAGACAGCTGCCTTGTCCTTCTTTGGGACTCGTTAGCAGCGCACAAACGCAGAACATTCAGGTTACAAGGCTAGGTTGTTTACCATTGAGATACTAGGATGGAATCTAATAACACATGAATTATATGACTTCTGCCGACTCATTTTGTGATTAAACTTGAAACCAATGAAATCCCTACAAACCACCATATGAAAATTAATCTAGCGGTCACTAGTAACTGAATACAGGATGAATTCACCTGAAGTTCCAGTGATAAGTCTTGGCGGATGGAGTACACACCGACGACACTGGTCGTCGGTCTCATTATATGTCACGAAGTGGCAGAAGTTAGGAATGATTATTATTGTGTTTTCCTTTAATTCCTAGAGGAACATAGGGCTTCAGCCGTGCGTCTTCATTGCGTTCGGTTCTCTGCTAGAGTCTTCACCTGGCTCCAAGTCTGCCCACACGCTTTCATCTCCTCTTCACATCACCTCATCCAAGTCACCCACCCTCCCACTGACGACCAACTCGCCGCTTCCCTTTCGGGTTCCACTCGAGCAATGGCTTGTCTAGTGATGTCACTTGATGGATTGTTTCCTCAGAGTATGGCCAGCCAATCCATCTCCATTTCTTCCTGCCTATTTGTTGCACAATCGGTTCCTGCTGTGTTGGTTTGCTCCCAGAGATCTCTGTGTCTGATCTTTTCTGACCGGCCATCTGATCTTGAGTAGTATTGAGCGAAGACAACTGTCAATGAAGGTCTGTAGTTTGTTTGATGTGCTCTTTATGACGCGCGAAGTCTCTTATCCGTATAGTGAGTAGGACTGACTTCACATTGGAGCTGAAGATCCGTATCTTATTTTTCATGCTGAGTGCTGTTGACATCCACACAGACTTCAGAGTAGTGAAAGCTTGTCTTGCTCTTCCGATTCTTGCTTTGATATCCTCATCAGTTCCGTCTGCCTGTAGTTGAAACGATGCTTCCCAGGTAGGTGGAAGAGGTTGTTTCTTTCAGGTTCCTCCCATTTCTGCTGATCGTTGTCTGTTGTTGTTGTTGTTCGTGTCCAGGAATCTCCATCACCTCTGTTTTCTCTATGTTCACCTGAAGTCCTATCTTTGATGCTTCTTCTGCCAACTTGTTGCTTTTCGCTTGCATATCAGACATATATCATCGGCGAAGTACAGATCCTCCAAGTTTTTCGTGAGGGTCCATTTTATGCCTGTTTCAGTTAGGAATGATAGGCCATTGGATTGCATCCCGAAGCCTCAACTGTATACGAGCTCACCTCTTAACCTGAAAGTCGTAAGCTCAATCCCTAATGGTGTCATGGCTGTATATATAATAGAAAAGGAAAGCTCAGCCTCTTTACTACACAATATTTTCAATAATTGAAGCTTATTTCACAACATGATAACTGAAGAATGCAATATGTGTAACTACAAATAGTCTACAACGTATAAATGCATGACGCATTTATCAGTTTATTAGGCATCTGCTGTCATTATTTTATGATCGGTGTTTCAGTTAACTGAAACTGTTGTGTTTTTTTAACTAACAGACGGTTGAAAGTGAAATAAAGTTAGAGAGAGTGAATGACATTTAATTTTATGAATGTCTATGTGTCACATGTTTCAATATATATAATAAAATGTGATAGAAACTGTTTCGCCACAAAAAGTATTTATAGAATATTATTTTGGTGTAGTTGCATTCTATAAGCTAGGTGATTTAACTGCAAAGCTTTCATTTCATTTTGTTTGAAGACAACATCTTCAGCGCAAAAATCGATATGAATTGAACTTATTTGAATTCTCTAATGAATGATACAAGTGTATCCCTTGACAACCAACCGGTCACGACAAAGTAGCTGTGAACAGAACTGCACAAAAGGCAAAAGTAATTACGACCAAAATGAAAGCGACAGTATCTACACACGTGAATGTTTGTACAGGATAAGACTGCTCAGTTTACTGTTGTTATTAAGAGTAGAAAGCTAAAAGGTCTAGTGTACATAGTCGAACAAAATTAATCCTTTTTAGAGAAAGGGCAATTAAAGTGAAGACGCCGTTTCTAATTGAATAAATTTTAGAAGTTATTGATCGATTAATTTTGGTGTAAGAAGACGAGAAATAATCACGAAAATTTCTTAAGGAAAACAAACAGGCATGAATCGTATAAAGGTACATTAGTAAATTATATACTTACATAAGCAGGCAACTTACTTCCCATACTGTAGACCAGATGACCAGAAAGGATTAGTAAAACTTCAGCAACGAACTAACCAACAACCTCTTGCTAAGCAAATATATAGGAAGAAATGGAGATGGGCTAGATACACGCTAAGGAAACCCTTGAGTGATATCAGACACCACGCCCTAGGATAGAACGACAAATTGTCCGCTTAAGGGTGACATGGGAAATATACTTCACGCAAGATATCTATCAGCTAGGAATTGATCGACTGGGACTCATGGCTGTTGGAATATTCTGGAACTTAATTCAGACAGACCTATAAGTGCCCAAGATGACTTCTAGACAAGCCTTAAACACCAACACTTACTAAACTTTCTTTCCTCGGTTAATTCTGATCATTACACTATCTACCTTGTATGTACTGATAAATGAAGTCCAGGTAAAAAGGCGTATGCACTGTTGTGTGCCCTGGTATGAATTATACTTACATAACAAGTAAAAAAAAACTAAAATTAATGCGTAGTAATATGGTGTACAACTTATCTGTCGACAGTCTCGGGTAGCAAGCTCAAGGGGTGTGCCTACTGATAGCACAAATCAGAGAACAAGCCACTTGCAAGCAGTCAAGTAGGAAAAAGATGGTGTAGCGCCATAGCACATGTATGCGTTAAAACAAAAGTTCAAACATTCACTGTGCACTACAGACCTATGAAAATAAGCGTAATAAAATGCTACCTGGCAGACAAAAATAATAATTTCCACATTATCATAATTGGTAATGAGATAGTAAGAAATCCCCACGAAAAGTAGTACAGAGTTGATACTTATAAAAAGACACTTTATAAACTGATGGAAAAAAGTGCTTACATGATAAGATGATATTTATGACTTACTTGTTAATCGGTGACATTATCTAAACCGTTTTCACTGGGCTAAAACTTATCAAGGAGAAGACAGTTGAATGACATCCCATGTCCGGCACTCGAGTGAAACCTCAACAGCGAACTACCAGCTGTACATGTATTCGAAGGTGACATGGAGGAGATCGTGTAACGACCAAAATGAAAGTTAATTAACAATCATGGAACCAGCTTAAAAAGATTGCAGTGAACAAGGTGAAATAGATATGTGCTGTTGAAGAACTGTATTCCATTTGAAAAACCAAGAATATAATAGTAGTAAAACTCTTCAATTACCAGTATTTGACATCCTAAGGATGATAGTCATGTAACTTATCCCAGTTGGTCGGTGGCACAGAAGTAGAATGCTCGCCAAACACATCGCATGTGGTTCGGGGTTCGATCTCCGGTGACATACGCACTGCTATACCTCGCTAAGCCAGTAATAAGACTAGTAAAGAGGGAAGGTTGGGCATGAGGCTAGCAACCATATCCCGTAAAAGTAAAACCACTGCTACTGATACTTCAAAGCTCTAGGTTGAAGCTCTATGTTCCAGTGGGAACGTAAAAAAATATAAAAAGCTTATACTTACCTACACAGACTAAATTAACAGTCGGTGACTTTGTAGCTTAGTCTTGTTTGAAACCCAGTACCGAATGATGGCACACACCAAGACGTAGTGTTATCACTCACAAAAACCTACTTTAAAATAAAGCATTTACAAATGAAATATGTTTTTGCTATTGCTGATCATGGCAATAGATTAAAACATTATCAACCTATTTAAATGGTATACATTTACGATCTACAATAAGTGATTCAGTTTGTTTACTGATACAACTATCGTTTTTCTGTATTTTAGTATCTATGTTGGATGGAGGTATTTACATGTATGCCGGTATCGTTATTAGCAGACGTACTGGACCCGGTGCATTTTTCGCCTTTCTGTTAGCCAGTTTAGTGGCTTTGCTTAATGCTATAAACTATTCAGAATTGGCTTGCCGTTTCCCAAAAGTAAGTGATTTTATTGAGATGAAGGGTGTTCACATTTATCAATTTGAGTAGAGAAATAAATATTTATTAATTTTGGGAACATTGTTTTTCATATTCTTCTTAAACGCTTCACTCCAAATTAACACGAACTAGGTAGTTAATGAAATCTAGGAGACAAGGACAGAATTATTTTCTTCCTTGTTGAAATATGATCTGACAGGAAGCACTTGCCAAGTCATACTTACTAAATTACCACTCATAAATTAATTCATCGGAATACCATAATCTCTAAATAATCTACACCTGCTTCAAAAACGCATTGCAACGATAATTCAAGGGTCATTCAATCGGGTTCCAGTGGCTGAATGGTATACGAGCCAACTTGCTTTGTGACCGGAAGGTCCTGGGTTCGAATCCCAGTTGAATGCGTACTGCCGATGACTCCCAATACTAGGATGAAACAGCTATCCAGTACTTTCTGTAGGTTTTGCAATTGTTCACTAACTGATATCGATCCGTGGTCAAGCTTGAAAAACAGATCAAATCCTTACAAATCAACCCTTGAAAGATAATTTTAAAGCCAGAAATGATAAGTAAATTCAATCGAAACACACCCAATTCCCAGTTAAGTTCCCTTATTCTCCATTTAATCACAACAAGTTACTTCCGAATCCTAAGACTAAGTTCAGATGTCGGGGAACATACGAGTGATATTACCTATTAACCAGTAGATTGAATGAGCAGGTGTTCACTAACATATATAGGATAAAGTGTGGCTATTTACGTCCCTTATACTGCATAAAACTTTTAATGTATTATGCGCTTTTCAGTAAATTTCTCAACTACCCGGAATCATCCGGCTTGAATACGCTAAATCCGAAGACTTCATGGTATTTCTGACGTATTATTGTATTATTATTGTTTCCTTTAATTCCTAAAGGAACATAGGGCTTCAGCCACACGTCTCCAATGCATTCAGTTCCCTGCCAAATGTATGACAGAACAAAATCCAAAAAGTCTGTAGGATGTTTAGCGAATTAACCTGCAGTCTTATTTAAAGCATTTAATAATTTGATAATTTCTCTTTTTTCATTTTTTCGAGTTGTGAGTGGAATATTGGGGTGCAAGCTTAGTCTTTGAAGTTTCCGTAGAAATGATGTTCATTTTTTATGAGGGTGGGTTTGCCAGCCTTACCTCCAACCTCTCATCTTTTTCGGAGTAAATAAGATTTACGAATCCATTGACCAGGAATCGAACGCAGATCATTTTGGTGAGCTAGTTAGCGAGCATTATTCAAATTTGAACAACCAACGCACAAAAGACTGATATAAACAATATTAATAAACTCTTTATCAGTTCCTTGTGTTATTTTTTGAAACAAGTCACACTTTTCTGAGCCCGCTATGGATTTCATGTCAATTTTAACAGTTGTCAGCCTTTTGTTGTCTAAAATGCCCTCTGGCTATGATCTCAAATATATCTATGGGAGATTACCAATAGAATATCATTACGTAAATAAAAACCAAGCAAATGAGAAGTGCAAATCTTTGAAGCTCACCTAGCAAATTAAGCTTTTAGAGGTATTCACCGTAGAATATGGATGCTGAGATGATTCACAACTACTTTGTTTTTCAAGTCTTTAAAAAGCGTTATTACTATATATTAGGTTAAATAATTCGAACTATTTATAACTCCATGTAAAGGCTAATAATAAGGGAAGTAATAAAGTATTCTGATCTCATAAGGTTATCTGTCTATTCCCTAGACTAGAAGATATACGGCTAATTGACCTAAGTCCTTGCTATTCATTCAAAAGATCTCAGGTTTGAAACCTGCAATACATCTTATCGGACCTGGGTAACCGAATAGCAAGACAACTTCCAATATGTTCGGTATGGCTCAGCCTATGATTTAAGCTTGTACTTCTTCACTATGTTGCTGTTAACGGTTAAGGAAATGAATATAAATATATAAATATCAGACTGAAACAACAGCTGCCCAGAGCTTCCTAAATTTCAGTGGTATCTAACTGGTGTTAGTTCTTGACACAGTGTATACACTGAAATCAACACTTCTTAATCACCGTACTGATTCGGTTCGAACAGGTTGTAATATGATGTTATTTAGTAATTTTCCCACAACTATCTGTTCTATATAAATATTTACTAATTTTAATTTATTTAGGATAATTCTTGCTATTCATTCACTTATATCATTTTGGGAGAACTTCCTGCTTTCATAATTGGATGGTCACTGATAATGGATTACATACTGACTATTGCAGTTAGTATGCGTAGTTGGAGTAATATACTTAACACGCTTACTGGAGATAGAATAAGCGCTTTCATAACACAATTTATTGGAAGGTAAGTAAACAGTTTTTAATTCATAAGTGTAATCATAACAGCGTTAATAGCAAGACAGAGATAGAGAGAGAAGTGCCCGTCTCACAGTTCATTTGGTTATAAATACAATTCATATTCCGTTTGCTTAACTTGATATCTTTTCGAGTTTGTTTTGTTTATTCTATTCTATTCATTGTGACGTGCGTCGGTGGCATAGTGGTTAGGACGCTCGCCGACCATCCACATGGTCCGGGGTTCGATCCCCGGCCACAGACGCATTCCTTTACCTCACTAAGCCAGGAATAATGCTGGTGAAGAGGAAAGGTTGGGCATGAAGCTAGCATCCTGTAAAATAAACACTGCTACAGAACCTTCAAGCCACTACCTTGAAGCGCTATGTTCCACTGGGGAACGTGAAGGAAAAAAAAGCTGGTAGTTAGATTTCCAAGTCAGAAGTAAACGTTAGCAAAACATACTACTAATTTAAGAATTAAACAACAACTAAAAAAATATGTAATGACTTCAAGTCAAAATTTTGTAGTGTTTCTGACACCGCTTTTAGAAAACTTAGTGTGGAGTATTATAAAAATAATTGCTTAACAATTATCTTAACTTTACATGTCTTCATAATTTTACTCTGATCTGACCTATTGCTAATTAGAACTAAGGAATGTTGATAAGAATAAGCAGCCAACATATATATTTGATGATATTAGATGGTTGGAGGCAATCGGACACAGGAAGCCTTCCTTCACCTAGGTTTCCTGCTAGTTGGAACTCACCACCCAGCAAGGCATATCTGCAATCACCTTGAAGGAACTCATGTCCCTCCTTCATAGATTCGAACCCTCGTCACCCAGTGCCGTCTGCAGTCAAAGACGTTATCAGTGAGTTATTGGCTCTGGCTCGTGATTGACCTCCTGTAGGACTGTAGTGGGTATTTTGATTTAACACTAATAACTAGTTTGATCTGTCTAATCCTCTCTAATATCATCAAATCAATGTGCACCGTGATGGAATGGTGGCCACATTGCAAATATCTGACTGGTAGAATTCAGTCTGCACCAAAGAGAGGACTAGACACATCACACTAGTTACTAGTGTCAAATCAAAAAACAACATATACATTGCCAGTATATAAGTTGAAAGTGTGTTTCACAGTATAAAGTTGGCCGTATAATGAAGAAGGTTCATAGCTCACGTGAATGATATTGAATTAGTTGTGTTCTCTGGGCTGGTTGATTTAATTGATTACATCGGTATAATGTCTATTGCAATTCGTACAGTTCAGCCAAAGTGAGCGTCCTCTTAGAATCCAAATCCGAGAACACAAATCGGCTGTAAAAAGACATGATACACATTCTTTCATATCAATGCATTTGGATAATTATGTGGAAACCAATTCGATTGGGATAAACAGAAAAAAAAAACACCAAGAACACTGTCAGGGAATTTCTAGAAGCCTGGTACTCAAATGAATCAACCAGCGATTAACAATTACATTCCTACCATAGACCAAATTTACCAGCTAATAAAAAGTGAATCAAATGACAGGAAAATTCGAATTCCAAGTTACTAAAACTGATCAACCAGTCACGATAGTGTTTGCCAGGAGAACACGAATAAGTCCATTTTTATACTAGAACCTTTCACTGAAGATGTTGTCTAGAAGGACGACAATAGCTTTGCAATTAAATCAACCAGCCTAGAGAACATAACTATTTCAAAGTTGACTGTATCATGAATAATGAACATACAAATCCGATCTCCTACTTTATTTTGAAGGCGCTCTCCATCAAAAAGTGGAAATCTATTAAGATTACTGAAGCATTATTGTCTTATATATATATATATATATATATATATATATAACACTTTTGTGCACGTATTCGTTCAAAGAAAAATGGTACATGAAATCGTGTATGTCCATCTACAGGTTAATAAGTCTGACTGAAGTTTACAAATGAGATAAATTTCACTTTAAATGTTTTAGTTGCTTACTGTAGACTAAATATTTCGAAGTGTTAACTGAATAAGAGTCTGATTGGTGAACTTTGATTCCTAGAAGTAATCAATACATCCAACATATATTATTATATTATTATTATTGTTCCCTTGGAACATAGGGCTTCAACTGCATGTCCCCACTTGCTTCTGTCTTCTGCTGTACTTTCCACCCGCATCCATGTTAGTCCATACTGTTTCAACTCCTCTTCACACGATCTCCTCCATGTCACCCTTGCACCGACGTCCCACTCGTCGCTTCCCTTCCGGGTTCCACTCGAGCTATGGCCTGATGCACGATGTCACCCAACGGTCTCCTCAGCGAGTCTCCAATCCATCTCCACATCCTCCTGCATATTCGTTGAGAGATTGGTTCTTGTTTTGTTTGTTCCCATAGTTTCTTGTCGGTGATTCTTTCCGGCCATCTGATCTTGAGTATAGAACGAAGACAGTTGTTGATAAAGGTCTGCAACAGGCTGTTGGAAATATTGTTTGTGACCCGCCGCCAAGTTTCTGATCCATATAGAAGAACTGACTGACTTGACGTTTGTATTGAAAATCCGAATTTTGTTGTTGATGCTGAGTGACAGCGGAAGATTTCCAGATTGCTTTGAGGTTGATGAATGTGTTTCTCGCCTTCCCGATTCTCGCTCGATTTGACATCCTCGTCGGTTTCTCCTGTGGTTGAGACAATGCTCCCTAGATAAGTGAATGAAGTAACCCCTTTCATATCTCTCCCGTTGATGGTGATTGGCGCTGAATGTTGCTGTTGTTGTTGTTGGTTGGTTACTTTCATAACCTCTGTCTTGTCTTTGTTCACCTGGAGTCCTGTCTTCGCCGGCTGCTTCTTCGACCAGTTTGTCGGTTTTGGCTTGTAAGTCTTCGATTTTGTGTGACATCAAGCATAAATCATCCACGCGCGAAATCCAGGTCTTCTAGATACTTCACGTCGGTTCAGGATATCCTTGTCTTCTCGTTTCCCACTGTCTGACGCATCCAACATATATGGCGCGGAATATTTTTATCTTATTCACTGTGTTCTTGATAAATTCTATTTGTAATTAAACTGGAGGCAATACGGAGTACCAGGATCACAAACTTTCGGTTTGTTGGTTTTAAAATTACCTTGATGTAGTGAAAAATTATGAAGTGTATCCAAAACAAAATACGCTGCATCTTACAAATAGGTTATAATATAACGTAGAATTTACTGATAAGTATCAGCGAGAGTTAAAGAGTGGACAACATTACCAGTAATTACCTCCTAGTGGATAATAAAAACAACTATAACAGTTGTTATTTTTCAGAAAAGAATGGTTACTGAACAAAGAATATGCTTTTCGATAACCTACTCTTCATCAGGTTCCAAAGTCATACATATATACATAATAGTGAATGAATTAGTATTATCAACCACATCAATGTTCTTTAAATAACATCGAATCAATAGTGATAATAATATCGATGGATTACAGTTCGATAGCATCAACATAACACTACACCACACTGAATATCACAGAAATTAGGAAAAATAATAATACAATTTCATGAATTCACAGTCTCCAATGAAGGCCAGCCAGGGCAGTAGTAGTGGCTCGACTTGCTTCTGCTGCACACACAGAGAACCGATTATTTCACCGCAATCACGATAGCCTCTACTGTTTGTAGTATGAGGTATCTGGGTGTTTTTTGTAATTTGTTTGATACCCGATAGATGATTGGGAAGGACTCTCCAATGCTGCCTGTCTTTGTGGCCGGTCTGGGCCAGGTGTCCTAATGTGGAGCTGTTGACACTTCTAACTACACCGTTATTCAACCACACTGGTAGATTTTCCTGTGTGAGCACGAAAATCAGGTTTCTAGAACAATGGTCAATATAACTTGCTCCACCACAAGCGCATTTGAATTGGTAGATACAATTAGAAGTTGCAAGGTTCATCGCCCTTGAATTGTAGTCGTCTATATAATGGGTTTTTTTATTTACAGATAGAGAATAGTCCTTTTCTGCTTTCTTAGTCATATGTTTCTTGATGAACTTTTCTGAATAGCTATTACAGTTCTATAAGAGGCCAGTTGTGACTGCAAATAGCTCAGTAGCAACATCTTTGATTCAAATACTGGAAGATTCGGGTTTGAATCCTATAGACGACATGAGTTCTTTCAAAACTGAAGACATGCCTAACCTTCTAGTGCCAATAAAAAAACACAAAACTTAGATCTACAGAGTGCTTCCAATCACCTGAAACCAATTCAAGATGCGCTTAATTTATGATGAAGAAAGGAAATATTTTTTTTTTGCAACATATAGTTGAATGTTTAACAAACCATTTCTGTGATAATCAATTCTTTATACAATACACTTATGTAGTAGACCTTAGCAGAATATGCCTTCATAAGAAACATTCACCAACCTAGTGGATATTATAGTGTTGAATTGTACTGCTAAGTTAGTGAAGTTCCAACTACTGTAGGCATTGAAACTACCATAAAATTTAGAATATGTAAACTGATTTAGTTACTACACACGTCATTTTCTTTCTACCTCCTGTGTTAAGTGATATCACATGGTGAGCAGTACTGAGGTTAGGCATAGAGTATCAGGTAAGGAGAGTCAGTAAGTCAGTTGTCCACGTTATGTAGCTAAATCAATTGACATAACTGAGATATATGTTTCGCATGCCAAGCCATCGCCTTTAACAACAAGCGATATATAATTGGCGTCCTTGAGATCTAAAACAGTTAGTCCCTTTTATAAATTTTGATAGCATCATTAGAAGACGGAGATTATCTGAAAAATGTGATGTATTCGCGCTATACATTTCGAACAATATGATCACACATTTACTTGTCAAGTCAATATTAGAAGGAAAAGTAACTTCTCATTTAGTAAAACTTCGTGGCATGGACGTTATCGATAAACAGGAGTTTAATTCCTTGAAACCCATGGGATCTGAGTTTCCAAACCTCTATGGATTACCCAAAATTCATAAGGTTGATAATCCATTACATCCAATTCT